ATCAAGTATCAATATCATGAAGGTAACTGTCCTGGATGTCCTATTATAGGGGATAGAGAAGTAGCATGTGGTAATACTAAAGAGTATATATGGGTAGTAGATGGAGGTGCTATCATATCCATATCACAAGAAGAAGGAAGAGATTATCATATTACTAATGATGATGGTAATGGAACTATACACCTAGCAGATGATAATGATGAATTATGAAGTTGTGTTGCTCTTTATTATTACCAGCACTATTTCAACATCAGATGATAGAGATAACGAAGGAGAAGGATGATGATGATGATGATGATGAGGAGCAGGAGGAGGAGTTGTGTTATTATTAGTATATCAATCATTAATTACCTCCTATGGTAGAGTATCCTACCCTTTTTCTTACTCCATCATCCGGGTAGTAGTAGTATCGTCAGTAGTATTAGTGATACCATGACTGCTACTGCTGCTACTGCTGGGTCCCAAGATATTGTGGTGGAAGGGGAAGCCTCCATAATGGGGCCTTCATCATCATCATCATTATGGTGGTTTATTGATACTAAGGTGGCTAGACAACATATTAGAGGTCCATATACTGTATCCCAAATGGGAGTATTATTTGATGTTGGTACATTAACTCATACAACACAAGTACTACTACTACTTAATACTATTACACAGTATAATATGATGATCATAATAATGATAGGTATGGAAAGCTCGAGGGGAAGGAGATGATGAAGGTGATGGAAGCGATGAATGGAGATCGTTAAAGCAAGCAACAGATCTAATACATGATATGGATACACTTAACAACAACGATGATAATAATAATAATAATGAGGAGGATATAATATCTCAGAGATTACCTCTAGATAAGGTAATTATTATTATATGGAATAGTAGTGTTATTAGTATTAATTGATAGTTATAGATACCATCAACAGAGATACGACAATGTACATCATGTATTGTTGCACAGAAAGAGGGTTATTGTGATTTAACATATTTCTGGGATAGACCCAATAAGGTAATAATAATAATCATAATCACTATTATCAACATCATCATTTATAGATGTGGTTATTATGGGACGAATATGAAACATTATGCCGTAATGAAGGGTTAATAGATGGTCTTATTATCAATAATAATAATACTACACACAACAATGTGCTGCTATCCAAACAACAGCAACAACATGATGGTGATAATGATGAGCAGAAGCAGAGGGCTAGTAAGACAGAAGTGTATGTACCATTAGATGATCCTGATAAGGAGGCTAAAAGAAAGAAACGAAGAGAATATCGTGCTAGGAAAAAATTAAAACAACAGGCAGGATTATGGAAAGCTAGAGTTAAAGATGAGAATAATCCTAATATATATATTAGTGGTTTACCTAATGATATTACATTGGAGGAACTGTAAGTCGGTGGGTGGGGGAGTTGGCTGTTCTTCTTCATCATCATCATCACTTCCCCCATTATCCATCCCTCATAAATGTTTATTATTATCTACTAGATATAACCTATTCAAGTTAGCTGGTGCTATCAAGACTGATATGGAAACAGGACGTTATAAGATTAAAATATATGACAAGCTACAACAAGAAGTAGAAAAAGGAGATCAGCAGCATCATCATCCTACTGG